GGCCGAAGCAGGAGCCGCCTCGCGCTGGGAGAGCGGTGCCTCCGCCGTCCCAGCCCGCGCAGGTCCTCGCTGGAAGCCGGTGCAGCCCGAAGGAGCCCGCGATGCTGGCGCTAGGGACCTTAAAAGGGAAGAGGACAGGAGCGCCGGGCGCGCTGCGCAGTGCGCGGGCAGAGCCGGCCGCTGCGTCACGCGCCCCGCGTCTGTCAAACCTGGCGGGCGCTGCGAAGCCTGGGGCCAGCGCCGAGGAACGGGCAGCCCCCGTGTCTCGCTGTGCGCGGCAGCATCGTTCCGCGTTCTGCTATCTACCGTGTTAGCTATCTACTCTGTAAAGAACAACTTTTGTTTACCACAGTGAAGGCTATTACTGGTATTCCCCCCCCCACACACATACACACACTTAAAACGTTCATCTGAGCTTAAAGAAAAAAAACATGTTCACTATTTCAGGTTGTAAACATGAAGGATTGCTTTTCAAAGTTTGAAAGGAAAAAGTGTATCACATTAAAACATTAAAAGAATACAGGTACTGGTTTGCTCTGCAGTTGTCTCAAGTGCTGCCTAAAAAGAAAAAAAAAAAAAAACCTTTTACCATTTATGGCTGTCAGTTCTTAAACTAGTTTTTGAAGACTTGCTGAAAGGAGAGAGAGGGCCTATGTCTAAAACTCAAGTGCACTTAGAAATAGGTGACAGTTCAAGGGCCCTAGTAATGGCCTAATCTTACTTCTCTATGTAAATGCTGCAGAGTGTGACATCTTTGAAACAGGGTGAGACAGCAGCAGGAGTTTTCATGGCTCATGTTCCCCCTTCACTTTGCTTTCTAGGCAAGCCTGTTTCAGCAGTGCACAAGTTGTTGCTTTGGTACCGATGCTTAATAGTAACTTCAGCCTTTCCATACAGTAGCAGAGTGTTTTGTTTGGCTGTCACCATATATGTAAGTGGTAGCCAGTTAAAGCAACAACAAAAAACAAACAACAAAAAGAGCTTACAAGTGGTAACTACAACATACTGATATAGCTTGTGGCCAAGGGGCGGGTGTAGAAACCCAAAACCTTTGTGTGGTTTGTGTGTTACGACAGCAGGTTTTTCCTAGGCAGAGAGACTGTTATTAGAGTTATATATTACAGTACATGCATTCAGTTCCATCCAACTGATGGTACTGTGTACTAAAAGAGTCAGGTTTGTTCAAATCATAAATCCTCCACTGTTTCTGGTGACATCCATGTACCAAGAGTATGTGCAGAAGATGCACGTCTGTCAAAACCTGGATTCCATCTAGCCAAACGGAAGTCGTGGGGGATTTATCACCTCAAATTGATCACTTTGTCCAAAAATTAGACTTCAAAAAGAGTAAAAAGAGAAACATTAAACCACATAATTTTAAGCAAGGCACTATTCTGTCAATTTTAAAATTCATAAGGTTTTTGCATTTTCAACCCTATATAGTTGAGTCAGGAGAAAACAGGAGGAGAAAGGAGAGACGAGGAAAGCCATTCCAGCTTCTGCATCTACAGCCTCGGGAGCACTTTGTAAAGTTCATTTCAAACCCAAAAGACGACTTACAGATAGGCAGCTGTTCAGATTCAGAAGTTAGCTGTCATGCCTGGAATGCATTCAAATACGTAACTGTGCTAAATGTATGCCTCTCACCCATGCACAAGACAGCCATGGAGAGAGCTTAACCCTCTTTCTTTTTCCCCCCTGACTTCTACAGGAAACTATGCCCCAGACGCCAATATTTTCCAGCATGCTTGGTTCCAGTTGTAGTGGACAAGTGCAGCCCGACATGGGAGAAAGATGTAGCGATCCTGTTTATCAGGATGGAAACCTTATTTCTGGATCACTGGAGGCCTTGATAGAGCGCCTGGTGCCAACCATGGACTATTATCCAGATGTAAGTAGACATGGGTGGGATTTTCTTCCCATAGCTTTCCTGCCTTTAGATCCTGATAGGTGCTTCCTCAGGAAGTTCCACCCCACCTCTATCTGAATTAAGATGAAGAAACCAGCTAATGAGGTGTTTATTTTACTTGCAGTAACCATTCACAAAAAGATGTTGCTCACTGGGCACACACTCCCTTCTGCTCTGAGACAAGAAAACTTGTTAGAAAGAAAGCCCTGTTGAACCCCAGTGAGCACCCTAAGAATTCAAAGCAGCATCCACAACAGTTTTCAGCCCCTCTAAGTTGCTTTGGCTCTAATATAGTCAAGGTTAGCTAGGGAAGTAGATAAACTCTCATTCAGCTGAAATCAGCTATAGTTGTGTTTTTTTTTTTCTTAATCATAAGAGTTTAGTTAAAATGTTATTTTTTCAATACATTTCCACTGGCCGACACTATACTGATGTATGTTTCTGAGCTTGTAAATAATTTTACATGTGTTCTTCGCCACCACTTACAACCTTACAACCTCACACTACAACCATAAATAAATACCATGTATAGCTACAGGGCAAACCAAAATATTTTGGACCAGGGATATTAAGTGATCATTTTAACACTCAGAAGGACCCCCTGTACCTCTTAAGGGAAAAGTTTTATTTAAAGTTGCCAAAGATCAAATAAATTATGCACTGTACTTTTCCATTTAATCTCTGAGGACGTGGCAGCTATAGTACAACTTCTAACTCTTGGTTTAAAGACAAACAGGGTGACTCAAAATTGCCATCGTTACTGACCGATACACTCAGCTTACACTTGTGAGTGGGCTGTGCCAGAGAATAAATCTCGCAGCAGTGTTTCTCAGTCTAATTTATGTACAACCTTTTACTTTGGTTTCACATTATGTTACCATAAAATCCTCCAGAATTGACACAGTGCCCATCTTCACAACCACCCTGCACAAAAACGACACTCCCTATATATACATATGTATATATACACACACACACGGTGAGTATATATCCCTATATACTCACTCTCCTTAGGGAGTATAAGTGGCAGAATTGCCGAAGGTTACCAATAGAAGATTAAAAAAAATATGCATCATGGTTTAATTTTCCACTTCAAAGTAATCCTGAACCTCACATTTGAATATGCACCACCTTAAACAGATGCCGACTTAGTACCAAGTTCTTGGAAAACACAGAGGGGCAACAGTTGTTCAGCATTGAACTTCCATTTCTCAACCATCCTTGTCCCCTCGATGCACATTATAGAACAGATGCAGAAGGAAACAGCAGGAAGAGCTTGCAGAGAACCTTGAAATACTGTGTAACAGTTAAATAGCTGTAGGCTGCTGCAGTTAAGTGTTCCAGGGAATCAGTGCCTTGCTTTTTGTTCAATATCAAAACATGGTTGCTTGCTGCTTGGATTTCTTCTCACTCTAGCTGATCTTTAAGTAGCTGCTAATGCATGTTCCCCATTGTAAAATGGGATCTATTTATAACTACTCTGAAAATGGTTCCATAAGGTGAGCATTACTTAAGGAGTCTAAAAATTATTTTGGACTCCTGCTCGTTTCCATGCTGTTAACCCATACATTGTGTTACAGAACACTGCAGCAAACCAAGTAGTCACAGAATCCACTTCAGGAGGCAACAGTTTAAATATACAACAGGTTGTCAAAGGAGAGCTCTACAACAAAA